AAAATGAACCCTTGACACTACGGAAGGGGGAATCCAATATACGCCGCCACCACCCAGGTACGTCGCATTAAAAGAAGAGGAAGGAGTATACCTACTAATGGCCATAGGGCATTTTCTTTCTTCCCGACTTCAATATAACCAAATGTACGTGCAATCGATCTCGCCGCCAGAGTCTCGAAACGAACCGCACGCCCATGTTCTGCTGTGGGCGGAAGCGAGGGCGGCTGTGGGACAATTGGGCCTCGGAGGATGTCTTGTACTGAGCTCTGTTAATGCCTTGTCTGTCTGTCTGGTCTGGTCTGTCTGTTTGGTGATTGGGTGTCTGTCTCTTTTCTTTCTGGCTGTTTTTCTCTGTCTGAATCTGTCTATTTTTTTATCTTTCTCTTCTTCTCTTTCTCTCTCTTTCTCTCTCTCTCTCTCTCTGTCACCTAACATCTCTCTGTCTAGTTCTCTCTCTCTCTCGCTCTCTCTCTCTCTGGCTCTCTTCTCTCTCTTGCTCTCGTCGTGCGTCATCTCTCTCCTCTCGTTATCGTCTCTGCTCTCCTCTCTCTCCCTCTCCATCTCCCTCTCTCGTCTCTCTCATCTCTTCTCTGTTCTCTCTCTCTCTGTCTCTCTCTCTGTTTGTCTGTCATCTCCCTCCCTCCCTCCCTCCTCATACCCTCTCCTCATCTCTCTCTCTCTCTCTCTCTCTCTCTCTCTCTCTCTCTATCTATCTATCTATCTATCTCTATCTCCTCTCTCGTTCTCTCTCTCTCTCTCACTGGGGCCGGTCGTCTCAACTTCGTCTCAAACACACATACATCCATATTTGCACACACATCAATCTGTATCTATCCATCAAATTATCTTTCTTCTGCCACCCTCGTCACCACTGCCTTACCATCCACCACTTTTGCTCGTCATCATTATCACTTTCTCTCATCATCATCACTTTATTATCACTTTATACACATTCTATACACACCTTATACATACTTAACTTTAAAAATCAATGATTCATTACAGCATCAAAAAGGGGTATTAATTATATTTCTCAATTAACAAACCTACACAGACAGAATCCGCAGGTAAATTTAATCAAAGTATAAAAAAAAATAATGAAGATTGACACCGTGATTTTTTTTCCAATTAAATCGATTTTATTCCGTTGGTTAAACTTGACTTTCCTGTCGTTTCAGTCGCTGGATTTCAGGATAAAAAATGACTTCACGATTTAGATTTTCAGGTCCATTGGGTTGGGGTTGGTAAATTGATAAATCGTTTGGATGTTTTGATTTTGTTGGTGGAGGTGTATGTTGTATGTTGGTGGTGGTGGAGTGTATGTTGTATGTTTGTTGGTGGTGAGGTGTATGTATGTATTTGGTGGTGGAGGTGTATGTTACATATTGTTGTTAATTGTTGTTGGCGCTGGAGTTGTATGTTGTATATTGTTGTTAAATGTTGTTGTTAGTAGTGTATGTTGTTTGCTGCTGTATGTTAATGCTGTATGTTGATGGTGGTGGTGCATGTTATTGCCATATGCTGCTGTTGCTTAGTGGTAATGTTGTATGTTGGTGGTGATGGTGCATTTTGTATGTTCTTGTTAGTGGCGGTGCATGTTGTTATTGTGTGTTGGTGGTGTATGTTGATGGTGGTGGTGTATGTTGTTAATGTATGCAATTGCTGTTGGTGTTGGTGGTGTATGTTGTTTATGATTAGAATGAAGTGTAGCATTAATGTTTGCATCAACATATTCTTATCATCAACATCTTATTAAGGTGGCTTATATCCTACATCTCTCTCCTTCTCCATCATTCTTTTTTATTAATTCTATCTCCTTTCTGGTCTCCTTTCTTATCTTTACACATTTTCATCTTTGTTAACTTTTAACAAAATGTCTTTCTTTTTCTCTCTTTCCACCCTCTTTCCTTCTATCTCATGTCAAGGGAAAGGGAAAATAGCCCTTAAATCCTAAAGCTAAAGGGACCATTTTGGAATGCATGACAACCTCAGAGCGGAACCCTCAGAGGTTGTCATACATTCAGTTAGTTATTTCCTTCTCTCTCTCTCTCTCTCTCTCTCTCTCTCTCTCTCTCTCTCTCTCTATCTATCTATCTATCTATCTATCTCTATCTCTCTCTCTCTCTCTCTCTCTCTCTCTCCTCTCTCTCTCTCTCTCTCTCTCTCTCTCTCTCTCTCTCTCTCTCTCTCTCTCTCTCTCTCTCTCTCTCTCTCTCTCTCTCTCTCCTCTCTCTCTCTCTCTCTCTCTATCTTCTCTATCTATCTATCTCTATCTCTCTCTTCTCTCTCTCTCTCTCTCTCTTCCTCTCTCTCTCTCTCTCTCTCTCTCTCTCTCTCTTCTCTCTCTCTCTTCTCTCCTCTCTCTCTCTCTCTCTCTCTCTCTCTCTCTCTCTCTCTCTCTCTCTCTCTCTCTCTCTCTCTCTCTTCTCTCTCTTCTCTCATCTCTCTCTTCTCTCTCTCTCTCTCTCTCTTCTCTCTCTCTCTCTCTCTCTCTCTCTTCTCTCTCTTCTCTCTCTCTCTCTCTCTCTCTCTCTCTCTCTCTCTCTCTCTCTCTCTCTCTCTCTCTCTCTTCTCTCTCTCTCTTCTCTCTCTCTCTCTCTCTCTCTCTCTCTTCCTCTCTCTCTCTCTCTCTCTCTCCTCTCTCTCTCTCTTCTCTCTCTCTCTTCTCTCTCTCTCTCTCTCTCTCTCTCTCTCTCTCTCTCTCTCTCTCTCTCGCTCTCGCTCTCGCTCTCGCTCTCGCTCTCTCTCTCTCTCTCTCTCCTCTCTCTCTCTCTCTCTCTCTCTCTCTCTCTCTCTCTCTCTCTCTCTCTCTCTCTCTCTCTCTCTCTCTTCTCTCTCTCTCTCTCTCTCTCTCTCTTTCTCTTTCTTCTTCTTCTCTACTTCTGGGAACACTGGCTAGGTTAGTGGAATACCCTTCTGGCCATACCTGTTTTTGGCAATACTTGTTTTGATGTTTGTTGTTGTTTTGTTTTTGCTTTTATCTCGTACACAGACTTCTGCTTGCAAGGTCATTTCTGCCTTTTCTTTCTGAATATTTCTGCTTTTAGATAGTGAAGATTATCTTTTTATCTTCAGTTCTTACAATTAGATTTACTAATGGGATAACTACATATGTGCGTTGAAATCTCCAGTTTTTTTTTCTTTTTTTTTTTTTGTATGTGTGTGTGTGTGTGTGTTATTCAAGTTTTCTGACTTTTAACTGATTATTCTCGTTTTGCATTTTTTATACTCAGAATCCTTATCTATTTCCTGGAAGGAGTTTATTGTGATTTTTTTTTAATGTATTAATGAGAACTGATAAG